TTGAACCCGGGAGGCGGAGATGCAGTGAGCTGAGATTGGGCCACTGTACTCCAGCCTGGGCAACAGAGTGAGACTCTGTTTCAAAAAAGGAGAAAAGAAAACTCTTTAAACACAGGACTCATTCTTAGGTGTAAGGTGCGTGGGAGCTGGGCGCAGGCCTACCCCTCCCGCTCATAGACTTTCTCCAAGTGGGATGATGGGGAGGCGCCTGCGCTGGGGTTGTGGCCCTGCACAGTGGTGCATTCACTGCATTGATTTTTTTTTTTAATTGAGATAAAAAAATGCCAGTATCAAAAAATGGCAGATAAAAATTTATATACCATAAAATTCATTTGAAAGCGCACATCAGTGGATGTAGCCTATTTCACTATGCTGTGCAAACATCACTACTGTGTAACTCCGGGACATGTCCATCACCCCCAGAAGAAACTGTGTACCTGTTAGCAGCCAGTCCCAAGTCCTGCCTTCCCCATCCCAGGCAACCCATCCATCTGTCTCTATGGATTCTTCTACTCTGGACTCCTTTTCCCTTATCTCTCTGTGTGTTCACTTCATCTGAATGCCTCATTGATGATTCCCTGCTGTTACACCAAGAGAAATACTTGAGAGGGGAAGACCAGGGCAGTATTAAAATGTCAATCAATAGATTATCCTTTCCCTGCAGCCAGACCCTCTTAGCCAACCCAACTTTCCCTGTAGATCAGTGTCCTTAGCCAGAAAAGGAATTCTCCACCCATCTCTTTGGTCCTTTCTACCTGCTACCTGTGATCCCTGCCAAATCAATCAGCTGCTTTACACGGTTGAGGGTTAGGTGCTCCCCAGCCTATCACCAACCCAAAGCGCCACTTTAGAGACTGCACTTCATCCCTGGCCTTTCGTGAGTTGTCCAGTGGGTCTTTGGCGAGAACTAATCCAGTTCTAAACTTCACCTGCATTAAGATTCTCCCTGCTGCTGCCATCTAAGTGGGCTCAGCATGAGCAGGGGATCCAAACGGGGTCCTGGTTGTCAGACCTCACCCTGGGGCTCCCACCCCTGGCTGCTCATCAGGTCAGCTGTGGAGCTTTCAGAGGTGAGACTGGGGCCTCTCATGACAGATGCTGCTTCAGTGGGTTTGGAGGAAGCAGAAACAGGTCTGTGTTTTTCAGTTCCTCAGGTGACTCTAACAGGCAGTGGAGGTTAAGAACCACTGCCTTCCTCATTTTTTCCTCTGTTTCCTGGCACCATGACAGAGGGGAGGCCAAAGGGTAGTTCAGCTGTGGAGCAGCTGTGGGGGTCTGGCTTAAGTCTTTTGTCAAGGAATATGCTTTGGCATTCATGATGGGGAGGGAGCTAGGACAGGGGCACGATCCAGCCAGAACGGATGCTTTTCAGCATGTCTAAGTCCCCATGGTCAAGGCCCTCGTTGCGTCCTTTCTGTCTCGGGAGTTTAGTTGGTGCCAGAGAATACACGATGCCTTATCTTTCACCCCAACTGGAGCCACCTGACAGCCAGGGCTTTGTGTCACAAGCCTCAAACCCTCCACGGTGCCTGTCACATACAGTCTGGACTCACTACTAAGCACAATGGATTGGTTGATTTCTCCCCCCACATGGCAGGGGGACTTATCCAGCTGGATGTGTTCATTGGACAACTTCTAGTGCCTGGCCCCCAAATATGAGGGTTGATGTAAACCACAGCCAGCCAGAAGCGACTCCAAATAGCTTGGCTAAAAGGAAAATCAAGGGCTCCATTTTTCTTAGGCAAGGGCCATCCACCAAAACTGTCTTTTTATTCCACTGGCCTGTAATCTTCCTTCCTTCCTTCCTTCCTTCCTTCCTTCCTTCCTTCCTTCCTTCCTTCCTTCCTTCCTTCCTTCCTCCCTTCCTTCCTTCCTCCCTCCCTCCCTCCCTCCCTCCCTCCCTCCCTTCCTCCCTCCCTCCCTTCCCTTCCTTTCCTTCCTTTCCTTCCTTTCCTTCCCTCCCTCCCTCCCTCCCTCCTCTCCCTTCCCTGCTTCCCCCTGCCCTCTCCTCCCCTCCCTTCCCCTCTCTTCTCCTCCCCTTCCCTCCCCTCTTCTTTCTTTTCTTTCTTGATGGGGTCTCTCCATTGCCCAGGCAGGAGTACAGTGATGCAATCATAGCAAACTTCTTGGCTTAAGCAGTCCTCCTACCTCAGTGCCCCCTGAGTAGCTGGGACTACATGTGCATGCCATCATGCCTGGCTAATTTATTTTTTTCACAGATGGGGTCCTCTATGTTGCCCAACCCGGCCTCAAACTCCTGGGCTCAAGTGATCCTCTCACTTGACCTCTGGGGTCACTGGGATTACAGGCACAAGTCACTGCACCCCGCTGTAGTTCCTGAGTCACATATGACATGGCCTGGTGAATAGAAACAGGTAAATTGGTTCTGAAACCCAATCTCTGGCCAGAGCGAACCAGTGGGCCCACAGGTGGCCACGGGGTGCCTGTTAGAGTCACCTGAGGAACTGAAAAGCGCAGACCTGTTTCTGCTTCCTCCAAGCCCACTGAAGCAGCATCTGTCATAAGGGGCCCTGGTCTCACCTCTGAAAGCTCCACAGCTGACTCTGATGAGCACCCAGGGGTGGGAGCCCCAGGGCAAGGTCCTGTGGCCCTGGTTGGGACCAAAGGATAAAGCATCTTTCTGGAGCACAGTATGGGGAAAGGCTCAAACCTGGCCCATGTTGGTCAGATTTTGGCCTGCACAGCTGGTGCCCGGGTAAGCTGCATGCCAGGAGGGCACCAGCACTTCTCACCTCCTGCTCCGCGTCCCCCAGCCCTGCTGCCGTGGTGCTAGTGACGCATCACTGCCCATTGGAAAGTTTCATTTCATGTCTTGGCCATAGCGGCTCTAGTGCTTTTTCTTCACCTGCCTAGTGTCCATTGCTGATGATTTTACACAGGACGGCAAGCAGGTGGACACGAGCCTAGGCTCATGGAGGTCTTTAGAGACCTTTGGTTCCTCTTTGTAGAATGAGGGCTACATTGGGTGGGTCAGGAAGTCTCTCACTTCATTCGCTCGAGTTCCACATTGGCAACTTTGTGATGGATCATGTGCTTTTTATTCATCTTGAAATGACCCAATTTATGTTTCTTTTTCAAAAACTGTAATGTCACTACTTTCAATGGAAAATGGACACTTACCTTACATAGAAGGAAAGTAAAAACAAACAAGAACTAGATAAAGTGATTAAATTGTGGGGAGACCACGTGTCTGCCAGGGGTCTGAGCCTGCGGCTGCTCTCTGTTGGCTTGACAAGTGCTGGAGAGGGATGAAGACACTCATATGAAACAGACACTCCCCATGTCACAGACAGGCAGAGCAACAGAGAAATGTAAGGGGGATCCCTTCTGATCACATGTGTCGAATTATTTAAAGCCACACCTGAAATCACTGACATCTGAAATCACATGCCTTGTATTCCCAGCAGTGCTGCCACACACTTCGGTCTGACTGCTGAGATCTGTCTCCAGTTCTGATACTCTGCAAATTCACAGACAGGGTGGAGTAGGGCCTTCTCACATGATCTATGAGGACAGCTCCCCTACTTGAAAAACAGTGTTTTTTTTTTTTCCGCTAAAATAATTGTTTTCAATCTTTATTCCACCAAAATGATGCTTTTTGTTATATCAAATTTTGTTGAGTTGGGCACTGTGTCTTATGCTTCAAATCCCAGCAACATGGGAGGCTGAGGCAGGAGGATCACTTGAGGCCAGGAGTTTGAGACCAGCCTGGGCAACATAGCAAGACACTGTATCTTAATTTTTTTTTTTTTTTTTTTTTTGAGACAGAGTCTCCTTCTCTCACCCAGGCTGGAGTGCAGTGGCGCTGTCTTGGCTCACTGCAAGCTCCGTCTCCTGGGTTCACGCCATTCTCCTGCCTCAGCCTCCTGAGTAGCTGGGACTACAGGCACCTGCCACCACGCCCAGCTAATTTTTTGTATTTTTAGTAGAGATAGGGTTTCACCATGTTAGCCAGGATGGTCTCCATCTCCTGACCATGTGATCTGCCAGTCTCGGCCTCCCAAAGTGCTAGGATTACAGGTGTGAGCCACCACTCCCGGCCTCTTAAATTTTTTTTTTTTTTTAAATTAGTTGGGCATGGTGGCACATGCCTGAAGTCCTAGCTACTTGGGAGGCTGAGGTGGGAGGATCACTTGAGCCCAGGAGTTCAAACAGGCAGTGGGCTATGATCATGCCACTGCACTCCAGCCTGGGTGACAGAGCAAGACCTCCTCTCTAAAAAAGAAAAAAAAATTGTTGACCAAACTCTAATTTTTAAAAAATTGAAATGGAATCTCACTGTGTCACCCAGGCTGGAGGGTAGTGGCACAGTCTTGGCTCACTGCAACCTTTGCCTCCTGAGTTCAAGCAATTTTCCTACCTCAGCCTCCTGAGTAACTGGGATTACCAGTGCCTGCCACCATACCCAGCTAACTTTTTACTTTTATTTTTACTAGAGACAGGGTTTTGCAATGTTGGGCAGGCTAGTCTTGAACTACTGACCTCAAGTGATCCACCTGCTTCAGCCTCCCAAAGTGCTGGGATTACAGGTGTGAGCCACCGCGCCTGGCCCAAACTCTACTTTTTAAGTAGCAGTTATGTAAGTTTCTACATTTAAATTACACACAGATACATAACACACAACCGCTCAGCGCAGAGCTGATGATCAGCAGACAGTTCGAGTTGACATAATTTCAGGCAAAAGGCAAGAAACTTGGTATTGCTGCTGGTGAGTATGTTTGTATTACATCATTTAAGGAACTGAACAAAGTTTGCTTGTTCTCCAGTGACTACCTTTTGAGACCTTAGCTTAAGAAGTAAGCGGAGATCACACCACTGCACTCCAGCCTGGACAACAGAGTGAGACTCCATCTCCAAAAAAAAAAAAAACAACAAAAAAAGCCACCACTCTGACCACAGCTCCAGGATAGAGGATTAGGAGTTGTGTGGTGTGCTGGGTGGTGGGTGGGTGATGTACATATTTATACTTCCAACACCAATTTCCAGGGAATGTCAAGGACAGCCAAGTTTCATTTATTTGTGCACATACGGGCATGAGCAAGAATGTTCTAAACAATATAACAATTTCCAGCATCAATTACAGAATTTCCTCTGATCATTTGATGAATTTAAACTTCAATTTAAGCTTGACTTTTAAAACTCCCCTTCTGCTTCCTGATGAACCAGCATAATCCCTAAAATTACACCCAAACAAGTCTGTCTTGATACATTGGGGTTTGTTTGCCTTTAGAAAAATTTAGAATCTAGTATGGGCAAGGTGGCTGGAACGAGGTTTGGGATGGCACAAATATTTATGCTTAATTTTGTGTGGACCACTGATACAAAATGGTTCTCACTTCATTTTTAGAGTTTCCATAATTTTAGCAATTATCTCTGAAACATTTTTGTCCACACTTATTTGGATAAAGTTTTCTGGAGCTGCTGGGGGCTCTAGAGTCTCGAACTGGGACTGCAGTAATTCAGAGGGCATAAAATGTCCCTTTCTTTTGAGTAAGCGTCCAGAGATGACCTCAAACGACCCACTCAGATGGACCACCAGGAGTTGCATCTCAGCCCGCTCTGCTTCCTTTCCCGACTCCTCGCACTTCAGAGCTGCACCATCTTTTCCTTGTGTTAATATGTCTCTGTACATTTTCTTCAGGGCTGAACAGGCTAGAACCACATGCTGTCCCGAGGCTACATCTCTGTTTAAAAAAAGAAAAAAATAAAAAAAAGAGGGAGGTTAAAGAATGAAGACATTTAAAAATAACCTCTGTCAATTCTAGGTGCAGGACTCTAGTCCTACTTCCTGCCAGTGGAAGGCATCAGAAAGTGGTGGTTAAACATCAGGCAGTACTAACTAAGTTAAAGATCTTCTGCTAGTAGTGAACAATCCTGGGCGAAGGGATTTACCTCTCTGATTGTCAGTTCGTCATCTGTTAAATGGGGCTACCTAGCATACTTAGAGCTTTCATAAGAAAAACATTGTTCGAGATCTCTGATATACAGATGTGCTCAGGAAGCGTTGGTTCTGCTTTGATGGATGCCAGACGTTGCTCCGTCTCAGCGTGTGGAGACAGGGCTGCCAGCGCGCCCCTGTGCTATGTAAACAGCTAAGCTCAGGTCCTCTGCAGGATGTTCAGGGATCTGCATTCTACAACTGGCTTCTCCCTATTCCTACTCCACAGTGTCTGGGGGAATTGCTAGGTGCAGAGCTGGAGAAAGCGGGAGAGAAGGGAGCATCAGCCTCTCTGTGGGCAAGGCGAGTAGAACATGAGAGGTTTCTAGGGACGCACTAAGGGAAAAACTTGAGCCAGAAACAGAGGCAGTGTGACACAGCACCAGTAAGGGGAAACCAGTGCGGCCAGAGACCACGCGGCTGCTGAGTGTGGGAGGCAGTCATCCTGGGGTCAGGACAGGACTCTGGAGTTAAGAGGTGGTGCATAAATTCTGACTTGGGGCTGGCTTAGGGACTCAGTATAAAGTTCTCTTCAGAATGAAAGTTCTGAAGGAAGGGCCCTCCCTTGCGGTTTTTTTTTTTTTTTTTTTGCGCCAATACATGGTTAGCAAACGTAAAAATGAAGCCATACTCCTTTTTATGACTATAAAATGACAGTACTGTAAAAATAGACTCTCATGAGTGCATTATGTTAGAGACCCAGGTAGGCAAAAATTTTCAAACCTTGAAACCCTGAACCGTAAACCCCTAAATCAAAACTCAGCCCATGCAAAGACAGGGCTGCCAGCCATGTCAACAGGTGTGAAAAAAGCAAACTGAATTTTTGTTCATTTAAGTATATTCTAACTTCGTATGGCCCAGACGGTTTTAGATGGATAAAATATGACTTCACCTTAGAAAGGAAGATCCGTAACCCACTCCCTGCCTTTTCCTTATCCTCCTCCATGTCCCGACCAGGATACCACTGGGGTCAGACCCACAGATGGGTGGTGTGGGGGGGACCCTGTTTGCTCAGGGGCCATGCTGCAGAGCTGGGCAATATGGACTCTAATCCTGGCGGCTAATTACCTGTTCACTCACAAATGACCTCAGGCCTTCCTGGTAGTCAAAGTTTGAAGTAAAGGGAGGAAAAATTGAAGACTCAGATAGGCAATAACAGGAGTGGCACCAGTGGACATTTTTTGAGCACTTACTATGTATTAGGTACTGTTCTACTGCCCACTCACCAACTCACTCACTTCTTACAATAATCTGTGGGTAGGAACTATATTAATTCCCATTTTACTAATGAAGAAACAGACTTATGGAAACCAAGTGGCTGATCAAGACTGCTAGCTAGTAACTGTGGAGCTGTCTAGAAGGTATGTCTCCAGAGCCCGATGAAACTCCATGCCGTCTGTGGCTGGCTGAAATCGTTGTGGTTACTTGATAGAAGTGTAGTCAGTTTTTAGAATCCTTTACCATCAGTCAGCTGTGATTTCAGGAGTGCATTTTTCTTTTCCTGTCTTTTCTGAGGGTTTTCTTTACTTGCTGGCTGTGGCTTATGCCAAGGCCCAGTGGTCTCTTACCTTAGTAAAATGTCATGCAAGTTACAGAGCCATGGAATCCGGTCCTGAAAAAAACAAAACAAAACCAAAAACCCAGACAAAATGTGACTTCTCCAGGTATTGTTTGTTTGTAGAGAAACATAAATATATCGTGTTCACAAACGTTAAGGTCCAGCGAAAGCTCAGTGGTGTGAGAAGTGGGCCCGTGCACAAGGCTGAGGGGCCAGCCCCTGGGCAGAAACATTTTCTTTTGACTGGTGTCAGTGGCTCTTTTCATAATAATAAAAATTGCCCTAAAGTACCAGTATGTATCTCCCCATCTTAATCTCCCCATTTTACATATGTCCTCCCTGGTTCTGATATGTTTACAAGTCTTTTATTGTACTGCATGTATTCTTCAGGTATCTCTGATCTCAAATGCAGAGAGATACACACATAAACCCTTAGCCGTCCCCTGGTCCTATTCTTCAGACCCTCCAAAGGACAAAATTCCCTTCAGATAAAATTATTCTAAGAAATTTATATTTTTGCCAAAGAGAAGACAGAGGAAATTTATGTAGCACATGCTACAGTGTTTCACAAAGAAATCTTCCTGAGACAAGTAAATTTTCTCCTCCTTCCTGGTGCAAATCCTGATTATTGGCCATAATGCATTGGAAAACAAAACAGAAAAACCTTTCTATTATTGAAAATTTTAAACACACTGAAAAGCAGACAAAACAGTACAAAGCAAACCTCTATATTACCAATACCCAGCTTCAGCAATTTTCTTTTGAGACGGAGTTTCACTCTTGTTGCCCAGGCTGGAGTGCAGTGGCGTGATCTCGGCTCACTGCAACCTCTGCCTCCTGAGTTCAAGCAATTCTCCTGCCTCAGCCTCCTGAGTAGCTGGGATTACAGGCATGCGCCACCATGCCTGGCTAATTAATTTTGTAGTTTTAGTAGAGATGGGGTTTCTCCATGTTGGTCAGGCTGGTCTCGAACTCCTGACCTCAGGTGATCCACCCGCCTCGGCCTCCCAAAGTTTGGGATTACAGGTGTGAGCCACCGTGCCCGGCTGGCTTCAGCTATTTTCAACCCACGATTAGTCTTGTTGTACGTATGCCCCCAACCACATCCCACATCCCAAATAATCCCATCCTAGATGATTTTGAAGCTGATTCCAGAAACATGATGTGCTTTTTAAAGTCCTTGCTTTTAGGCATTTGATTACTACCATTTTATTTAGAATTTTTGATTTTATATACTTGAGATGGGCCTATATTTTAAAAATATGGACCATATTAAATGTCAGTATCAAGGCTTTACTAACTTTATAAAATGAGTAGGATAGTTTTCTCTTTTGTCCTGTTCTTTCAAACAGCTTGTATATAATATATAATGTTTGATAAAACTCATCTGAAAAACCCCCTAGGCCTCGGGCCTTTTTTGAGGGGAGATCTTTGATTATAGATTCAGTTTCTTTAATGAGCACTGTATTGTATTCAGGTTTTCTATTCTTGATTCACTTTTGGTAGCTGCAACATTTATGATGGCAGGAAGAGACCACACCTAGACAGCTGAGCCACCCTCCCTGCCTGCCCTTCCCATCTCTTACTGCATCCTCTTACTTGGCTAAAGAATAAGGAACTTGGTGGAAGCCAGGCGGCCACACAGCAGGAGCAGATTCAGCTCATTTCAGCCCAGCTTCCAGGCCTCCAGAACCTTGAACACAGTTCATATCTGTAGGTTACACTCGCTGTACAACGTAGTCACTTTTTATCACCTTTATCATTACTTCAAAGGAGTAACATAAACAATCCATGCCCTTACTGTAAATTATACAACTCTCTGGACCTTCTGCTTCTTAAGCCAAATGCAGCACCAGAATGGTCACATTTTCACTGGGGAAAAAGCAGGTGTCCCTAAGCAGTGTCTGCCACTAGATCACTGCCATCCAACCCCATTTTCCCCACAGTATTGATATTTTTCATTGAAATTATCCAATTTTGTCTAAGTCTTCAAATTTACTGGCATCAGGTTTTCCACATCCCTCTTTTTGTTATTCATCTCAATTGTGCTTCTTTCTTCTTGATCAGTCTCACTAGAGATCTATTTTTATTTTGTCAAACAACTAGCTTTTGCTCATAGTTTATTTTTTTCCATGACATAGCCCTCAGGAGATCCTGAGAACATGTGCCCAGTTTGTTTTCACTAGCATTCATTTCTATTATTTCCTGCATTTATTTTTTTCTACTTGAACTGAACAACTAGCTCATTACTTTTCATTCTTGTCATTTCCCGAAAATGCACTTAGAGGCTAGTTTCCCTCTAAATAATGTTGTAATTGCATCCCACAAATTTTAATTGATAGTACTTTTGTTGTATATTACTTAATATTCTATAATTTCCATTATGATGTTTAACTTATAAATTATTTATATGAAGGTTAATTTTTAAAAATTTTTGCTTATTTTTAGAGTTCCCAGCCATTTTGGTGATGTATGTGCATTTTTATTATTGATTTTACAGTTCATTATAGTAAAAAATGTGAGTGGTATGATACTGATTCTTTGAAATTTGTGGCAATATTCTTTGTGGTCTAGTACATGTCAGTTTTTGTAAATGTCCCACATGAACTTGAAAAGAATATTATTTTTCATTAATGCCTATGTCAGGCTTGATGCATTTATTCAAATCTTCTATATTCTTACTAATAATTTCTTTTGTCTACTTCATGTATCAATTTTTCAAGGTATTTAAAATTCCTCCATTAGACTGAGAAGTTGACAGTCCACCCTTCTATTTTTGTGTATGTTAGAAAATGTCTTTATTTTGTGCTTACTTGTGAATCAGATTTTGTTAGTTGGTGAAGAATTCTTGGTTGACCGTTTTCAATAGTTTGAATAATTATTTCATTTTATTTGGGCCTTTGTTGAGAAGTCTCTTTTAGTGTATTAGGCAATCTTTTAGAAAATATATCTTATCTCTGGTAGTTTTAGGTAGGAAAAAGCCTCTTTGTCTTTGAGAGGCTGTGCAGTATTACTCTTGTCCTGCTCAGGACTTACTTTGCATATTTAGTGTGAGTACTCATACCCTGGAAAGGTGTTATTACCTATTTGAATATTGCCTTTCTCCTATTCTATTTACTTGGGTTCCTTTTAGCTATACGGGAAGTTTGACATTTTATCATACACATCTATTCATTTTTCTTGAGTATTTTCTGTTTAGCTCTCTTCTTCATCCTGGGTAATATGCTCCAATCTGCTTTTCTTCTAATTCACTAGTTCTCTCTTCAGCTATATCTAGTTTATTGTTTAATCTGTTGATTATTTTTTATTTCTAATATTTTTATTTCATTCTTTTTCAAATTTTCCTGTTCTTGTCTTCTATTTGATTCTATTATGTCTAGTTCTTTGAGTGCAACATCTTACTGTTTTTGCTGATTCTCTCTCATAGTGGTCCATTTTCCCATGCAGTTTATAGTTTTTGATTGTAGTTTCATCTTCAGCAAAAGATTTTTTTTTTTCCTTTGTGGGAGTCCTAAGTTTTGGAAACACTTTCACAGGCAGTTTCATCAATTCTAGAACAGTTTTATGTGAGTTTATAAGCTTGGTGCCTCTTTGTCATACAATGTGAATTTGGGTTTAGCAGGGGCTCAGGTTCCTCAAGGATCATTGTTTTTTCCCACCTGTGGCCCAGGGAGGCAGCTAGATATTTTGCTCCTTTTGAATTCAGTGGGTGGCAATATTTTTAATCCTCATTCAAAGACAGCCCTTATATTGAAAGGAATAAAAATTAGAAACTTAATAAAAATTAGAAACTTAAGTTAGGCCATTTTGAAACTTAGAAAAACAACCCACTCAGACCCACCCAACACCAGATGGCCACTCAGACCCACCCAACACCAGATGGCCCCTTAGTAAACACCCAATATCCCCGGAACGCAAACAGAAAAATAATTCCAGGAAAAACCCCTCATACGAGCCCACCCCAACCAATCAGAGAACTAGCCTACCCCAACCAATCAGAAAAGACACACCCTGCTCGCACCATAGCTGGCTCCAATCATTTTGAACCTTAAGTCTTGTTTGAATCTCGCGCCTTAAGCTTTGTTTGAATTTCGCGCCTTGTTTGAACCGGTGGTGTTTGCCTATATAAACTACCTGTAACAAGCAATCGGGGTCCTTTGCCACCTTTGTGCAGAGGACCCTAGCGCGCTAGTAATAAATCTCTCTGCTGTGACTCCCGTGTTGAGTGGTCTCTCGAGAGGACCCCCTATCCCAGGAAGGAATCTAAACCTAGGTTCCAACAATATAAGGACTTTATATTCTACTACTTGACATCAATGTTAACAACAACAACAAGACTTTATGTAAGATATTCAGGTCCAGATACTTCATACAGTCTTACAATCTTATCTCCCATCTCTACAGGGTCATCAAAACCTCAGCCTCCTGCCCTCCTGGCTTTTACATAGGGGAGTGGGTTATTCTGGTTTAGTTCAGCCTTGCCACACTTTGATTTTGGCACATGAGATGTTCTCGGTTTGCCTTGGACTTTGGCAATTTTTATTTTCCTTTGATCTTTTCCATGAGGAGCCTTTTAAGCTCTCCAGCTCGGTAACCACCTTTAGCTCCTGGGTATCTCCCCTGGGCTCAGGACATTTCTTATTCAGAGTAATTTAATCTTCAGTAAGTGTGAGGTCATTCTACCAAGCCTATCACTTTGTGCTCAGCAAGTCAAAAACCCTCTAGTTATCTGGATCCGCCCTTCATAGAAGGAAGAGGAGAATTAGAAATAATATTTCTTTTCCTTCATATCAAATAAAAGATTATTTTTAAAGCATTGCGTGCTAATGTAGGATTGAGGGTCCTGTAAGTTTACTAAACATAGAACTCTAAGACTTTACTTCCATGCACATACTATTTAACCAGAGATCACTTAGGAGTTCAAATGTAATAGCTACCAAAATCACAAAATGTACAGATCAAAGGATGACAGTCACACAATTTACACAAATTATAATCTAAATGTCAATAACTACATAATTAACATAAATCAATACTCAAATCACAACAGTTACTGTCATGTATGTACTTAAGAGCTGAAATGTACTTAACAAATGAAACATCTGTTTATGTTAGCACTTGTCTGGGGGGTGTATTTAGTGGAACAAGTGTGGTTTTTTTGTAAACGCAGTAACAAGATGATGAGGCTTACCAGCTCCATATTTGCAGACCACATGGTCAATTTTTATAAACGTCCCACATATACTTGAAAATAATATGTGTTATTTACTTTTCATTAATGCCTATGTCAGATTTGATGCATTTATTCAAATCTATATCCTTACTCATAATTTATTTTGTCTGCTTGATGTATAAATTTTCAAGAGAGGTTTTTTGAAATTCCTCCATTAGACTGAGAAGTTGACAGTCTGCCCTTCTATCTTTGTGTATGTCAGAAAATGTCTTTGTTTTGTGGTTAATAAAGCAAAAACTAAAGTTATTAACGTTAGAATATATGAGGAGACTTTATGTGCTCTTGGAGAAGAGTGTAGATATTTAATGCTTATTATTGGCAAGGTTTTCTAGGACATCCTACTAAAAAACTAGATGTTCTGGACACTCTGTGAAGAGAAAAAAAGTTGGGCAGTCTACATTTATGCAACTTGAAACCACCATTGCAATTCAGTGTTTTCTGAGCTTATGGTGGGGAATGGGGAAGAAGGCTGTCAAGGATTATAGGCTACAGGGATAATTAGCTGGACTGACTGAGCTCTGCAGTACTTTTTGATGGAAAATTGCCCCTGGGGAGAAGCTGCCCCTTCAAGCACAAATTTGGATTTCCACTTTCCTTTATCCATTTATAAGCGCCTATTGTGTGTGTAGGGAGCCCAGCCACTGTTCTGGGTGCTTTTGGTCCAATACCCTAGACATGATCACTCTAAGTTTGGCTAATTCCTAAGGTACCATTTGAACTCATCTTTCTAAATTCCTTTCTTTCTCTTATTCCCCTTGTAATTAGCCAAACTTTTCTACCACATTTTTGGGCTAATGAAGATGAAAAAGACAATACTGCTATACATCAGCTTTTTTTTTTTTTTTTTTTTTTTTAAAAACCTTCTTGTATATATTTTCTAAAACAGCTCCTCTGACAGACCGTTGTAATGAAAGAAGGCACTGGGTCTTGAAGCCTCCCACATTAGCAGGAGGTTCTACTTCCCACTCTGGGATTCAATCTTATAAAAACGTGGCACATATTGGCCCACAGGAGGGAAACAGTGGCCACATACTTGACAAAAAGGTAGAATAAGCATTTAGGGGACTGATTTCTAATCCCGGAGTATGTTTTACATGAAAATGGAGGCATCTGCCTTCAAATCATAGAAATTATGTCAAGTTCTATAAAGCTATGAGTCAAAGGATTTATATTCCTAGAGAAAATGAGGGCCACAGCGAGGTGCTTTCCTAAGGACTTGGAAAAGAAGGAAATACGATTGTTCTCTCAGCGTTAAATTTAAAGATCAACAGTTAAAAGGAAGGGGCAGAGATGTGTAAGGTCATGTGAAGGAGTTAGAGTGACTCCCAGGCTAGCAAGGCATCACTGTGATTCAACTTAATATTTTCACATACCTCGAGGAAGCATGTCTGTCCCAGACAGGCTGGGCAGGCAGGAAGGCCAGAGCAGGGCACTGTAGATTGAAATGTGAAGCACTGTCCAGCGGACATGGAGCCTCGGCTACTGGCCTGTGAACATCATATTCTCATTAGCAAGCCTTTTCCTACTAATGCATGGTCTTGCACCACCAGATTCTTTGGTCTTAACTCTCCCATGTTCACTAAGAAACCTCTGATTGTATGTTGGCTTCTGAAAATGTGGGTACTAATGTGATTGTTACAGGCCACGTAACAGTAGTATTTCTTTTGGTACATTAATCAACTGGCATTTTGGTTTATGCAGGAACTTGTAAACCTGATTAGTAGGGGTCTCACATGAGAGATGAATCCATATTCAATGTGTTGACAGTATCAAGGGGGCTGGGCCTGCAAGACAGAGAGCCAGCCCTGAAGTCCCAGTTGGGTAGTCAACCAGCCTTTTCCAAGGTGTTCCCCTTGTCACTGTAGAAGTCTCTGGCTGGGACTTTAAGACTTTACTTAAGACTAGTGCTGTGGGCTGTGGATCTCCATTCAGCAAGAAGAATGCTTTAGAAGAGGAAGTGATTGGAAAGTTCTGGGGGCTGAATGCTAATTTACATGATCACATATCTACTTAGAGTTAAGGGGCAATTCGAACTATGAATTAGGACCAACTCAGAGATGAAATACACAGAACAAAAATAATTTTTTTTTGGCATGAGTAAATGTTCATAATGAGTTTGGGATGAACCAAAGAGAGAGGACAATTTGTTTAAATACAAGAATTTCTTTCTTATTAGCATAGGCACAAACTTGCATTTTGCTCTTTTGCTCAGATTATACATTCTGCCATTCCATCTGCACAAATATTTGTGTTTGCTGGTGCTGTGGAAATGGAGATCAATCTCTGTATTACTTTATGGCTTAGGAAACAAATACACTTTTCATTAAGCTGAGTGTTGACTATCTTATTCATTATACTTTCTATGTGCCTGAAGTATTTCATAAGAATGAAACAAATTAAAAATTACAGAAAACATATTTGGGTAATAAGTTTTCTATCTTGCATACAAATAAATAGAGCTTTACTTTGAATACATGTTTTTTCATTGTTTTAATAGTGCCTTAATGGATGATTTAGTCAATAATAAAGCACATTGCTTCATCTAGTCATAATAAAATTTTTCAGAATCTCAACTATGAAAGCCATAATAAATATAAAACTATTTAAACAAAAATAGGTGCTTTTAGACATCCGCCCTATCGGAATTTATGGCAGACCAGACTAATGACCATGTACTGTGTGCATCAGTCATAAAAACAATAGAGAGGGTTGGAAATAAAACAGCAGCACTTTGAACGTGATTCCTGAAATTTCCAAATAGTGAATCATAATTCAATGATTATGAACTTTCCTTGGAGGCTCCCATGAAGCCACAAGGAGAAAGGTTTTTCCAAAGCAGCGCCAGTGTGGAAATTCAAGTTCCAGTGCCTGACCTGCTTCAAGCCAGGGCACCATGCCAGTGCCGTCATAACCCTTTCAAAAGGTCAGTGCCTCAAACATCCTTAAGGCCTAACCCCTATCATGGAAGCGCTTGTGGGGAACTGCCCCTCTCACTCCTGCTGTCACTCTCACCCTCTCTCTAACCCTTTTCTTTCCATTTAACCAACCTTGATTCACTGCTTGTGAATCATTTGTTTAATGGTTGGATGATCAGGGCCTTTAACACAGTAGGAAAAGTATGATCTTTGAAGTCAGAAAGACTCCCCTTGCTGTGTGGCTTTGCTCAAGTTACTTAATTTCTCTATGCCTCTCTTTGTTCATTTGTAAAGTTGGGATCGTATATAATTCAATGAGCTGCTTTGGGATTTAAATAAGAAAAGGAATAAACTATTTTTTGGTTGATTTAACAGTTGAAATAAACAGTACTTATTTCCAACTCTGAATTTTTGAAAGAGTTTAAATTCACGAATTTCGTAGGCATTGGGCCTTAATTCCACAAACACTAAATGTTAATACATGCAAAGCACCATACTGAGTGAGCACTGGGGATAAATATGAATGGTGTGGTTCCTATCCTCAAAGGGAAGAGGCAAATGAGTAAATAATCTATTAAGTTACTTGCAGGGCAGTGATGAGGGCTGTAGGAGATATACTAAGAAGGGCTGTGATAACACAGCAGGGGGACAGGCCCTTTTTTTTTTTTTTTTTTTTTTGAGACAGAGTCTCGCTCTGTCGCCCAGGCTGGAGTGCGGTGGTGCCATCTCGGCTCACTGCAAGCTCCACCTCCTGGGTTCACGCCATTCTCCCACCTCAGCCTCCCGAGTAGCTGGGACTACAGGTGCCCACCACCGTGCCCGGCTAATTTTGTTTTTGTATTTTTAGTAGAGATGGGGTTTCACCGTGTTAGCCAGGATGGTCTTGAACTCCTGACCTCGTGATCTGCCTGCCTCGGCCTCCCAAAGTGCTGGGATTACAGGCATGAGCCACTGCGCTCAGAGGACAGGCCAATCTTGATCAGGCCTTGGAAACAGTAGGCCTTGGAAAGAGTAAATCTTGAAGGATAAAGAGAATTTCAAGACCTTGACTGGCCTGCTAAGGAGTGTGGACCTTATTGTAAGGGTGCTAGGAAGGACCTAGACACATGAGCTCCAAATTTTATGCTCATAATGAAGAAAGGGGGCAACTGAGATCTCTCTACAGTGAAGAAACTGGAACAAGAAGGAGATATTAGAGCAAATTCACTAAGCTCTGCGCCTTCCAAACAGTTACTGTGGACAATATAATAAATTATGAAAATCAAACACACACAAGTCTTAGGGGAAAGAGATGAGACAATCCAAATTAGCATCTCTGCCTATGGCTCTGATGTTCAAGGTTTTCACACTCCAGATCAAGCTTGTACAACCCACAGCCCGCAAGCCCTACTGCGGCTTTGAATGTGGCCCAACATAAATTTGTAAACTTTCTTAAAACATAATGAGATTTTTTTTTTTTGCAATTTTTTTTTTTTTTTGCTCATCAGCTATCGTTAGTGTTAGTGTATTTTATGTGTGGCCCAAGACAATTCTTCTTCCAATGTGGCCCAGGGAAGCCAAACAACTGGACACCTCTGCTCTAGATAGTCCCTACATGCCAGGATGGGGAAGGCAGTGCACTCCCGACTCCCAGCCCAGTGCTCGGAGGTGAGCATAATGAATGCTCCAAGAAGGGTTAAATCAGAACGTCATGAGGCTAGAGAAAGCTTTCTTGGCCTACGGAAACATCTTGAGAAATTGAGTGTCTTTTGGAAGGGAATGATGGGTAGAGAACAGATAATGGTAGAATATGGGTGGAGAGAGACGGGAAGGAAGGTGGGGAGTGGGAATGGCGGGGAGATGGGTGTGTTTTACCTGATGCAAAAATATATAGAATGTTATATACTGACTGCCCTCTAAAAAGAAAGAAGAATAATTCCAAAATTCAATTCATATTTTTGGAAGATGAGACCAAGGGTGACATAGTTTATGAAAATTTTTTTTAGTACTTTCCAAATTTTCTATACAGGGCAAATATTACAATTATAATCAGGAGTTTTTTTTTCAGGATTTTTTTTCTTTTCCAAAAAACCCTCTTTTTAAAATAGACTTTGAAGTTGAAGTCTACTCAGTTGTCACTGCAGGCTCAGATAGGGACACTGAGGGCCGGGCGCCTAGGGCAGACTCACTGACTAGTAGCTTTGAAATTCTTTATTATTAATATCATGATAATGCTAATAATTTATCACAGCTTAGGTAGACTGTTTCTAGACTGGCACTGTCCAACACAGCTTTCTGCAATGATGTTCTATAGCTGTGCTGTCCAATAAGGTAGCCACTAGCCACTCATGGCTACTGAGATTTTGAAATGTGGCTGGTATAACCCAGGGACTAGATTTTACATTTGATCTATTTTAATTAATTTGTATATATTTTTTTCAGACAGGGTCTCACTCTGTTCCTCCAGGCTGGAGTGCAGTGGTGCAATTACAGCTCACTGTACCCTTGACCTCCCGAGATGAGGCCATCCTCCCAACTCAGTCTCCCCAGTAGCTAGGACTACAGGCATGCACCACTGGCTATTTTTTTTTTAATTTTTGTAGAGACAGGGACTTGCTATGTTGCCCGGGCTGGTCTCAAGTTCCTGGCCTTCAGCCTCCGCCTCCCAGAGTGCTGGGATTATAGGCTTGAGCCACTGAGCCTGGCCTAACTAATTTACATTTAAATAGCCTGAGGGAGCCCTTAACATGTTCCACTCAGACTGCAGCTCTGAGCCGTCTGAACACAAAACTCTCCCTACATCCTCCCTAGATTCTTTCTCAAGGGAGAACCAGGGCCTCTGCCTTGGACATGGACACGCTTTGATCCATCCACAGGGGGCTTTCCTCAACTCTGTAGCATGGGAGCAGTGTGGGGAGGGTGGGGACCGGTTACCACGGCAACCAGGAGCTGTGTTGGTGCCAGCACAGCTGTGACCCATATCTTCAGTCTTAGACTCATTGGATTCTTATCAAGAATGAAAATCATCTGTCATTCTACCTCTTAAGAATGTAAACCATCTGTCGTTCTACCTCCTCCTCTCTCTATTTTGCTTATCTCTACGGTCTGGCTAGCTTGTAGTTTTTTTTTTCTGAAAAAATTTAGTAAGTAACTTGTGTTTCTTCCAGTAATCTTTTCTCCTGTACATAAATTTCTCTTCTGAATTCTACCCCCCAATCCATACAGTCCACTTAACAAGCATCACTTGTGAAGAAGAGGAAGACTATAGAAATTCCATTTTAAAATCTATCAATTTTGGTTACTTTGTTATTTAACTTACCTTTTATTTGCAGTCACCAAACAGAAACCTAAAATAACACAGGCACAGTCACATTTTATACACTCCCTTAGAAATGGTTTATGTTATTGGCGGGTATATATGATTTATGTTGTGTGTGTATGGTTAGTAATAATAATTTTAAAACGTGATATTTATTGAATGCTATAGGCACTTTTCTGTGCATATTTTTTGTATTATCTCATTTAATACTCCCAAGAAGCCAATCAAATAGATCCTGTTAACATTCCTACCTCACAGGAGAAAAACAGGGCACAGAGAGACTAAGCCCTTTGTCAAGGTCATACAAGTCTGGTGGTGGAATTAGGTTGCCTATGTTTATTATCTCTAGTTTAGTATCAACATGATTACTACTCTCTTTTATTACTACTCTGTTATTACTCTCATTATTATTACTCTCTTTTATAGTTCTGTTGCCCTATCTTCTAAAATGAAATGTTGCAAACCTGTGATGATTCAAGGCCTGAACCTCTACAAACTCAAGCTGCACCCCCAATAACAAAGAGAAGTGCTCTTGGGGTGCTCTAGAATAGACCTAATAATGGTTTAATGGCTCAAGGCACAAAAAAGAAAAGATAGTGAGCTAGGGAAAGGACACCTGGGGGTGAGCCCAGCCCCACTGAAAGTGAAAACAACAGTGTTGGTCTGTGGCCAGTTCCATTCGTTCTTGCTCTTTGGACACACTTAGTGCGTGGCCCCAGCCTTTGACCTGCCCTCATCTCTCCTGAGTTACGGCCAGTTATGCCAGTGAGGACAGTTTGTAACTCTGGTGTGAGACACTCTAGGGGATGGCCTTACAGCCTGCACACAGGAGAGTGCTGTTCATCCACTCATTCACTCGAAAACATGCCACAACTATTTTGTGATGTTTACTGTGCGTCAGGCCTGGGGGGTACAATGGTTAACAGGAACAGCCACAGTCCCTGCCCTTTTAGGGGTAAAGTCTAGTTGCAGAGACAAACATTAATCAAATTCTCAGACCGTCAGTTGTTGAGCTGCCACAGGGACAAGTGCAACAGTGAAATGGCACCATGAGAGTCCATCACGGAGGTTTCACTTCCCTGTGGAAGTGGCATGGGTGCTGAGAACAAAGGATGAGAAGGGCTAGCTCAGGGAAGAAGGGAACAGGGATACAAAGGCCCCATGGGAGAAGTGTTTCAGTGGGAGGGACTGGAAGAGGCCAGGGTGCTCCTGTGGAGATGGCGGGGGGCTGCATGGTTTCTAAAGAGGCTGGAGCCATGTGGAGGCCACGCCACGCATGCTTAGCAGTGTAGGTGTTTGGTCTTGATCCTGAGGTTAGTGGGAAGCCTCTACCGGGTCATAGGCATGACCAGATTTGAGTTTTCAATGATCACTCTGGCTTTGGGGTGAATGCCAGAGTACGGTGATGGTGGCAGGCTGACAGCAGCACCTGGGAAGAGATGAGGACTTCCCCATGTATGAGGCACAGGGAGCCTCTGCCCTCTCAGGAATTACATTCTGCAGGTTAAAATCCCACAACAAGGTGTTTTGGCAGAACCTGTTCCGGCTGGGGCAGAGGGTGGCAGTGCTCCTGGGGCCAAGTTCAGTCAGTTGTTCAGGACTGCAGCTAACATATGTAGAGGATCTACTGGGCACCTGGCTCTCTGAAGCCCCTGTACAGTGACCTTAGGACTCAGGAACTCTACTGCACCAAGTGCTGTAGAGATCTCATACTGTCACCCAGGTGGAACACGTGTGATGGACACAGACAGCAACTGTTACCTGGTCATTGAGCGGTATCCCTTTTCCCATCTTCTTTCGATTTTCCTCCGGGTGATAGTCATCAGCATCATAGAATTTCCATCCCAGCTTTAAGAACAAAGTGAAAGGGTGTATGTGGCAGGCAGATGGGCCAATGTGACAGTCATTGTGGGGTTACTCACAGGCAGGTGTAGAAACAATGCCAGCTGCCTGGTTTCCATCAACCCCAAACACAACCCCCAGGAGGGAAGCACCTTTTCATGCCGTTTCACAGCCCCCACGACTGGGGCTGCCACGGTCTCCTTTAATTCATTACTTTTTTTTTTTTTTTTTTTTTTTTGAGACAGAGTCTCACTCTGTCGCCAGCCTAGAGTACAGTGGCTCAATCTCGGCTCACTGCAACCTCCGCCTCCTGGGTTCAAGTGATTCTCCTGCCTCAGCCTCCCAAGTAGCTAGGACTACAGGCACACGCCACCATGCCTCGCTAATTTTTGTATTTTCAGTAGAGACGGGGTTTCACTGTGTTGGCCAGGATGGCCTTGATCTCTTGACCTCGTGATCCGCCCACCTCAGCCTCCCAAAGTGCTGGGATTACAGGCGTGAGCCACCGCGCCCTGCCTATTCATCACTATTTGTAATCACCAAGGAGAAAAATGAAATTGCTCCAATGGGGTTCAAAGCCATGTGGAAGTGTCCATACAAAGCAGGAAAAAGAGATGCAAGGAGACCAGAACACAATGGGACACACACTCGGAAGGCATTAGGACAGGTTACTAACCTCAGATGCCAGCAGGGCGCCCACGGTGGATCTGTGGAGAGGACACAGATGTTCCCATTACTGCCCTGCCCAATGTGTGGAGCTTCCTTCTGTGCAAGGATGTCTGGGAAAGGGACGGCTGCCCTAGCAGGAATTTAAACACCAATCACAGTGTAATCCTAAAGCAGTGATGCCGTGACCCTGGAGTCTGGAGACTGGCCTTAGCTGATCCCCTCGAATGTCAGTGAAGAAATAATTAGTTAACACTATTTTTTTCTCAAAAGGCAATATATAAGATCTCATGAAACCTAAGATTTTTCTTCAATAATCAGTTTTTGGTCCCTGTGGTATAATTTTGTGTGTGTGTGGGGGGGGGAATGTTGAATTCATAAAGTCATAAAATTCTGTTGAGAATATTGGGTGGAGGGGTCTGATGGAAGATTTAATCTCTAGCAGCACCCATGTAAAGTTCAGGGCACTCATAAAAGCATAAAAACATTTTTGGAGTTTAAAAGAGACACACTCCTAAAATAAAGGACATGGGTCAGTATCTCACGGATCACCAGCACTTGTTAAGACTGGGAGTTAAACGTTCTCTGTGCAGAGCATTTGGTAACTACCTGTTCATACTCTACCAGGCGGCACGTGCTAGTGAAAGGGGCTCGGGACTCGGGACTGGAGATGGGGCCACGGTTGCCTTCTGCCACTAAATGACTGAGTGCTCCCAGCCAAGTCACCTGTTCCTTTAAACCTCAGTTTTCTCACCTGTAAAACAAGGGATCTGAGCCACACAGTGTATCCATCCACCTACATTTCATTTGTTTATTGAGCACCTACCCAGGATGTAATGGTAAGCTCACTGAGACATGGCCTCGGCCATCCTCAACAGTCTAGTACCACAGGGTAGGGGTGGAGGCCAGCAGACAATGACCCATAAAGTGCTTTCTTGCTTTCAATGTTTAAAGTGTTGCCCAAATGCCAATTATTTAAGCACCATCTTCATAATTTTTTACCTATCTCCATACTGTTTTATCATGCCCTCTTAAATTTTGCATATCACCTCAACATTTTGATGTTTTTATTTAATTGCTTCACTTTTAAAAATTAAGTAAGTGTGTTAAAGAAGGAAACTTTCTTTCATTCCCTTACACAAGAAGCTATCATCACTTGCCTTGAACAGAAGGCACCTGAAAAGCTGTATGTAATGAAAACAGAATAATGTGAGTAAATTCTAGCTGGACACTGTTGCCTAACAAAGGTCCTCTTTCTTTCACCAAAAAGCCATTAGAGAGGTGTTAGACACACTTGTACCAAACTGAGATCTGCTCCTTGATGTAACCAAAGGATTGCGAGAGCAATGAAACCTTTCCCGTTATGTTCATTCTATTGAAGGCTGCTCAGCGAGACATGCAGCCTATGGATGAACAGACCATCCCGGCCAATCTCCACAGCTGGTGAAGCCAGAAGTATGCATAGCAGAAATCACACTTAAGACCAAGTTAGGTTGGGCGTGGTGGCTAACGCCTATAATCCCAGCACTTTGGGAGGCTGAAGCAGGTGGACTTTGGGAGGCTGAGGTAGGCAGATCACTTGAGGCCAGGAGTTTGGGACCAGCCCGGCCAACATAGCAAAACCCCGTTTCCACTAAGAATACAAAACTGAGCTGGGCATGGTGGCACACACCTGTAACCCCAGGTACTCCGGACGCTGAGGCATGAGAATTGCTTGAACTCAGAAGGCAGAGGTTGCAGTGAGCTGAGCTCACACCACTGTACTCCAGCCTGGGCGACAGAGTGAGAGTCTGTCTCAAAAAACAAAACACCACCACCACCAACAACAAAAAGACCAAGTTAGATTAGCCATGAATGAATATGCCATCCAGTACTCATAATCTGAAAGTAGAGCTAAAGAGATGTGGGTGAAGACTGTCAGGAAGAAGATGGGAAACGAAAAACCACTGTTTGGACTCTTGAATATGCACCAAAGACCCTGGCACAAATGAGGTACCGTGCTGGGCCCTAAATAGTGGTCAGACCCAGGATTACAAATCAAGATTTGGGGTCTATACGTCTCCCAGTGAGTTGGTCTAAATCAGGAGCAAGGGACTTAAAAAGACAACACAGGCCAATGGGGGAGAAGGAAGGGATGCAGAATCAATGAGAAAGATATTCAAAAGGTCTGAGCTTGTTTCATCAGCAAAGAGAAGGAAACCTGGAAGGAGATGTTAAGGGTGGCTTCACTAAGACTGTGAAAATATAAAGAAAACTAACAACACTGCCACCTACTCAAATGCCTGCCATCTTCCATCCATTTATTCATTCATGAAGTCATCAAGTATTTAGTGAGTACCTACAAAATGCCAGGAACTGTTCTAGACACATGTATCAGTAAACAAAAAAGAAAATGATCCTCTACATTCAGGTGGGGGAAGACAGTAACAAACTGAGTACTTGAGGTCACTGTGTTTTAACAGTGTTATAAATGGAGTCTTTCTGTTTTGAGACTATTGTTCTCTTCAGCCATTAGGCTGTGAAAAATATTTTTCTAAATGTTATGGAGTATAATTTTAAAATCCTGTAGGGCTTCAATAGGGGTTCACAAAGTCACTAAAGAACTTGATGTTGCTACATCCAATGATGAATATAATCAAGTCACAGTCTTTTTATTACTCAGCTAGTCAATAACATTGAACACATCTCCCTGACGCTGAGCCACCAGAAGGCCCCAGGGTTCAGTTCTTGGCCAGCTTTTTTATCTATACACACCCCTTTGGTGATCTCAACACCTTAGGTCTTTAAGTACACCCACACAACAATGATTCCCACAGTCAGATCTAAAGTCCCTCTCTTCTGAACTTCAGACTTGGACATCCAACCACCATCCACTTGATGACTGACTGGCTCGTGAAACTCACCATATCCCACACTGAGATTCTGAGGTTGTCTTCCAAATCTGCTCTATCTACTGATTCCCCATCGCAGTTTGTGGCAACTCTCTCCTTCCAATTACTCAGGCCTAAAATCTTTTTTTTTTTTTGAGACAGAGTCTCGCTCTGTCGCCCAGGCTGGAGTGCAGTGGCCCATCTCAGCTCACTGCAAGCTCCGCCTCCCGGGTTCACGCCATTCTCCTGTCTCAGGCTCCTGAGTAGCTGGGACTACAGGTGCCCGCCACCTTGCCCAGCTAGTTTTTTGTATTTTTTAAGTAGAGACGGGGTTTCACCATGTTAGCCAGGATGGTCTTGATCTCCTGACCTCGTGATCCGCCCGTCTTGGCCTCCCAAAGTGCTGGAATTACAGGCTTGAGCCACCGCGCCCGGCCGGCCTAAAATCTTGAATCATCCTTGACTTCTCTGTCCTCTTCTTACACCCCACATCCAGTCCACAAACACATCTTTCTGACTCCGCCTTCAAAATATTGCCAGCATATGACTACATCTCTTCACTGCATTGTTTCTGACTTCATCTCCCATCATGCTTCCCCTCACTCAGCCACAATGGCTTCTTTCCTGCTCCTTAAAGAAGCCAAGCCGTAGCCGGGCATGGTGGCTCACGCCTGTAATCCCTGCACTTTGGGAGGCCGAGACGCGTGGATCACCTGAGGTCAGGAGTTTGAGACCAGCCTCGCCAACATGATGAAACCCCATCTCTACTAAAAATACAAAAAATTAGCTGGGCGTGGTGGTGGGCGCCTATAATCCCAGCTACTCTGGAGGCTGAGGCAGGGGAATCGGTTGAACTCGGGAGGCGGAGGTGGCAGTGAGCTGAGATTCCACCACTGCACTCCAGCCTCAGCAACAAGAGTGAAGCTCCATCTCAAAAAAAAAAAAAAAAAAAAAAAAAAAGCCAAGCCTCAGACCCTTTGCACCTGCCATTCTCTCTGCCTCCCCTGCCCTTTCCTCAGCTATCCACATGGCGGACTCAAGTCTTGCAGGTTTTTGCTCAAACGCCACTCCCCCAGAGGAGCCTTCCCTGACCACTCTGCCTGGCACCCTTTGTTCTGCTTACTCCAGAGCATCTCACCAATTCACACACTACATATATTCATTTACTCTGTCTCCCATACCAGAATGTAAATCCTTTTGAGGGCAGGGATTTTATCTGTCCTGTTCACTATATGACAATGACATAAAGTAAAGCATTGAGCTCAATAATTACGGAGTACATGAATATCACAAGCTATACATCATAGGGATTAGACCCCCCTCAACTGATCCAAGACTCAGAAGGGTACGTGAATTACTCAAGCTCACACAGCCAGACAGCAACAGAACCTAGACCTAGGGCTCTTCACTCCTGTTACATCACACGATGGCAATGATTTTACATTCTCCAACTGATTCAAATCATATGGCAGCAAGGGATTTGGGGCTCCATGTTTTATTTCAATTTCAGTTCAAGATTTCTTATCTTTGTGGCTAAGAACCCTACAGCAATTTTGGAAAGCAAAACCCATCTACCTGGAGTAAGTCTTTACACCTGACTACACGGGCCACAACATGGGCCGTTCCTGATTCAGAAAATTCTAGAAGGGTCCTATAGGCCCTTGAAGGTTATAATGTTTTAGGTGATCAAGTTCTATCCTTTGCTGCCTGTGGTCGAATGCTGCAGCAGCTGTCTTTTCTGATAAATGGCACGGTTAGACTTTGGTTTAAACAGGAAGCCAAATGTTAACTCCTCAGTCTCCAAGTTAGCACACTGGGCTACCTGTGTGGTTTCCACAATTCTCTCCTTTCTTTCCAAACCTTCAGGAGCTACCCTCCATATTAACGCTGTCTCCTTCCGGGTTAAGGTGATGAAAGGAAGGGGAAAACGATTCACTTTACAAAATCGAATCGGAGAAGTCCAGGGCCTCACAGGAGGAGGCCGCTGTGTGTTCAGATGGCCAAAGGTCCGTGAGAGCCTGGGCCGTGGTTTGCGTCCTCTCGCTAGAGGCCGTGCACCCTCCCGCCTGGCCCCGACGAGGCGCCCGGAAACCGAGCCCCGCGCCGCTCGCTAGGCCTCCACCTGCGCAGCCCCGCAGCCGCCTCTTCAGGAGCGGCTTCCTCCCTGAGCATGCGTTCGCTGCAGCCTCCCTGTCTTAGAGCGGGAACCCTGGGCTCGGATGCGGTCCCAGGATGGGCGCTCTGCTAGCAGGCTGGAGGGCTGGGAGAGTGCGCGCAGCCGCGGGCCTCGGTTTCTTCCTCTGCAAAGGGAAGGGCGGGGGGTCCCCACGACCCCATTTCACCGGCAAGGACGGCGACACGTCCGGCCTCCGCCGGGCCCGCAACGTCTCTCCCGGGCGCCCCCCGCCCTCTCCCGGACCTACTTCCCCGAGCCGCTCACGCCCATCACCAGCAACGCGCCCGGTGCCGCCATGACCCGAGCCTGGCTCCTTCCAGTCACCTTCCGGGCCCCGCCGTCCCCGGCCTTCCCGGCGCCCGAGGGGCGGAGCCGCTCCCGCCCAGGCAGGGCGAGTGAGGGCTGTGCCCCTCTGCGCTCTCCCGGTTTCCCCGCGTCCCTTTTCCATGCTTTCCGCCTCCCTTTCCCAACCTCCCCATCTCTCTCTCCTGCCCCTTCTTTTCCTCTCCCCTCCCCTCCCTCTTTCCTCTTCCCGGAAGTGAAGCGCGCGCCCGGCCTGGCACTGGCGTCTCCCTGGGCTGCCCACAGTCGCCCAAAGCCCCGCCACCTGTCTTCCTACTGTCCTGGCCCCTCTTGGTTCCAGAAGAGCCTCACCCTAGCAGGCTGGATCGTCATCCACCCATGGAAAGCATTCATTCATTCATTTATAAAAATGTTTTATAGAAAGAATAAACGGAAAATAAGACTCATACTTTCCCACACCAGGCAGCAATAAGCAGCACTTCCTAAAACGACACCCCTTTCCCCGCGCCCCCGCGTAGGTAGATGGCTATGAATATTTTGTAAAACTGGGATCAGGCCGTTCACAGCGTTTTGTAATCTAGCCTTTTGTCACAATAATAAATGGCGGCCATCTTTTGGTGTCAAACTTAAGGTTGAGGGTTGACCATAGCAGCGTATGTCATGGCTGTGTGGCTCTGCTATTAAATCCAGCTCTTGTTGGGACTTTAAGAGGACGGAGCTCCACTTTAAAGTGTCCATTTGCTTTAAAACAATGTGTTAATTATCTGTCGTTTGAACTATTTGATTAAAAGCACTGCTTTTTTTTTTTTTTTTGAGACGGAGTCTCGCTCTGTCGCCCAGGCTGGAGTGCAGTGGCCGGATCTCAGCTCACTGCAAGCTCCGCCTCCCGCGTTTACACCATTCTCCTGCCTCAGCCTCCCCAGTAGCTGGGACTACAGGCGCCCGCCACCTCGCCCGGCTAGATTTTTGCATTTTTTTAAGTAGAGACAGGGTTTCACCGTGTTCGCCAGGATGGTCTGGATCTCCTGACCTCGTGATCCGCCCATCTCGGCCTCCCAAAGTGCTGGGATTACAGGCTAGAGCCACTGCGCCCGGCCTAAAAGCACTTCTAACCGCATTTGGCATCACCTCCTTTGGTCTTTTGCATTTGGCATACCTCCTTTGGTCTCTTGTTAACCAAGGTCGTAGGTATTACTCTGTGTCCTAGAAAACAATAAAAGTGACATAAAAGCATTTATCTAATGAATAGTTCAATTACTCCTGCACTGCCTTTGTTTTTCATATACTTAGCTTGAGTAGATGAGATTTCAATCTGGATGGGGGCTGTACAGATGAAGAAATTGAGGCTTGGAGAGACAGGTCTTGCAACTCAGTTATGGTCAATACTCATTTCTTGAACATCTACCATGTGCTGGTTAATATAATATTAATATGCATTTAAAAGATTACCCTGTCGGCATTCTCAAGCTTGATAAATGGAATAGATGTGTATGCAAACACTCTAACTTGTGTCCTGCTTCTCTAGCTCAGTATGAAAAAAAAATCTCATATTTATTTCATTGTTCAAATCAGAATTATTAGCAGAAAATTTGGTTCTTCTCCTTGGATTTCTTGCCCAAGACATGTCCAAGGATCTTAAACTTGCTGTGCTGCTCAGGGTGGTGGCAGGAAACAGCATGCTCAAATTGGGGCAGGTGAACAGAATTTAACAAAGGGACTATTTGTAGAGATGTGGGTAGGGTCAGAAAAAGCAACTAGGGGCAGAGTCCAGATCTGAGTAACTGAGAAGTATTTTCACTCTTAAATAGAAAGGGGCCGATGAGAGGGAGCCTTTATATGAGAAGGGAAGAGAATGGAAAGAGACAGACAGAGAGAATAGACCATATAGAAAGAAGTATCTGAGAGGACTGTAGCCTTAGGAAGAGAGATAGACATTCCTTGTTGACCCAACAGAAAAATAATCAGGAGAATAAATAACCTCTCCTCCCCTCCTCTTGCACTGTGATCTGCTAGTGGCCAAACCCCACCGTCAAACCCAATTGGAAGGTGGAGAGCTAGGAAGTCCATTGGTGCCCATGCATGCCAATTTCCTGGGCTCAGAGCAGGGAAGAGAACGGTGGAGATTGTATCTGGAGGGACCAATGAAAGATACCCAGCACATCAGTGTCAGTGAAACCCTGTGCCTGCTTCCAGGACAGCAGAACTTCAGAGGTGCCCCTAAGAGCTGAATTCCACGTTTTTTGCTTTCCAAAGAGTGCCACCTGCTGGTCCTGGTTGTCTTGGTGCTTCCCAGCTGTTACTATGGGGCAACCCAGAGGCTGAATATTGGTCTGGTTTGAGGTCCCGCCTACTGCAAAACTGTTGTACTGAGGCACATGGTACTCTGGAAACCCCAAGTCCCTAGTGAGGCACAGCTTCCTGCATGAGTTTCTATAGTCACTCAAGTCCAGATCACCCCCAGATTCTGGACAGCATGTACTGTAAGTCTCAAACAGAAGTGGCAGTGCTCCTGTATGAAGCTGCCCATTTCCACAGGGGTTAAACAGAGCTCAGGGATGAGCACCTTAATGTGCACAGGCACTTCCCTGGGAGGCAAATCATCCACAAAGATGGTTGGGTTGGGGCAGATATTCACATAACAGGAGCCTCACAGTTGTGATATGTCTAATTGAGAAGAGTTTGGATCTTCCCCCTTTCCCTTCCAGGAGAGTCCTTGATCCCAGTTTAATTCTGAGAGTTCAAACAGATGCATGAGAGAGCTTAGAAGTTAAATCTCGGGTCTTAACCAAGCCCTAAAGTAGCTCGTTATACCTTCTTCTGGAAATAATGGCTGTATACTTGCTTCACATCTTCTGAATTAAAAGGGGCCACTTGAAAGATCCAGAACAAAGTTTGCACAAAGGCAAAATGGTATCTGTTACCTCAATAGATGTAAAAAAAGCACTTGACAAAATTTAACTTCCCTTTGTGATCAAAATACTCAACAAACCAGCAATACAAAATTCCCAACCTGATAAAGAGTATCTATGAAACCCCCAGGTAACATCATACTTAATGGTGAAAAGACTGAATGTTTCTCCCTATGATCAGGACGAAGGCAAGAATGTCTTCTCTCACCACTTCTATTCTACATTCTGCTAGAGGTTCTAGCCAGGGCAATTGGATAAGAAAAAGAAATAAAAGGTATCCAGATTGGAAAAGAATATGTAAAACTATCTCTATTTCCAGATGACATGATCTTGTTTATAGAAAACCTAAGGAATCCGAAATAAACCTACTAGGGTTAATAAATGAGATCAGGAAAGTGACAGGTTATAAGATCAGTGTACAAAATCAATCGTAATTCTAAACAATCTGCAAATAAAAAATTAAAAAAATTATTTACAAGAGCATCAGAGAGAACAAAATAATTAGAAATTTAACAGAAGTATAAAATGGTAGTCTGAAAACGACAAAACATTTTTGAAAGAAATTAAAGGAGACCTAAATAAATGGAAAGACAGCCTGTTTTCATGATTTGGAAGACACTATTTTTGAGATGGCAACACAGGATTCAACGTAATCCTCATGAAAATCCCAGCTGACTCCTTTGCAGAAATTGAGAAGTTGATTCTGAAGTTCATAAGGAAATTTGAAGGAGATAGAAAAATCGTGAAAAAGGGAAAAGTTGGAGTATTCACATCTCCCATTTAACAAACTTATTTCACTTATACACTCATAAAGTCAATTTGGTACTGACATAAGGATAGACACACAGACCAGTGGAATAGAACTGGGAGTCCAGGAATAAATCCATAAGTTTATGGGAAGTTGATTTTCAACAAGGGTGACAAGACAACTCAATGAGGAAAGAACTATCTTTTCAACAAATGGTGCTACAACAACCGGATGTACACATGTATAAAAATAAAGTTTATTTATTTATTAAATGATTATCATTATTTTTCTGAGGCAGACAGGGTCTCACTCTGTCGCCCAGGCTGGAGTGTAGTGGCACAATCTCTGTTTGCTGCAACCTCCGCCTCCCAGGTTCAAGCGATCCTGCCACCTCAGCCTCCTGAGTAGCTGGGATTACAGGCATGTGCCACAACACCTGGCTAATTTTTGTATTTTCAGTAGAGATGGGGTTTCACCATGTTGGCCAGGTTGGTGTCAAACTTCTGACCTCAAGTGATTTGCCCGCTTCGGCCTCCCAAAGTGCTGGGATTACAGGCATGAGCTACCGTGCCTGGACTTGATTCACTTCTTGTCAATCATTTTTTTAATGGATTATCAGGGCCTTTAACAGAGTAGGAAAAGTATGATCTTTGAAGTTAGATTAATTTATGAATTAATTGATGGAGAAAAGCTGCAGAGATAGAAGGAGGGTGTGGTAATGAGACTAGAAATGAAGGGATATGGGTGTTGCATAGCCTCTGACAAAATAACTAAAAGCCTCTTTCTGATTCAAGATCTCTGCCTATAACATGAAGGAAGACAAGAGAGACTTACCTCAACAATACCTTTCATAGGTCTGAACACTAAATAATTTCATCCTAATCTCTCTAGATTGTTCATATGAAAAATTTTGGACAACTAAAACACACCTTCCTCAATTAAAAGACTTAACACAAGATTTTTTTGGAAAATAAGGGCAGGAAACATGTAAAAAAAAAACTGACAGTGAATGTGAACCTATGTCAAGCCATGCCATGCCCCAAACGCCTCCAACATATATTTGGTGTGGCACAACTGAATTAATCTTATGGGAGAGATAAAAGGCATGATCATTGATATGTAAAAACTGTGTGCATAAAATACACCATTTCAAGGTGTTATATTAGTCATACAAGGATCAAAAGAAGCATTAAGCCATTTATCTATCTACTTCAACTTCTGTTAAGCTTCAGAATGCTTTCATCCTCAACAAAATCTTCCATAGAACCGCAATATATAAATCTAATATAGGCCAAGCACAGTGGCTCACATCGGTAACCTCAGCAATGTGGGACGCCAAAGCAACAGGATGCCATAAGCCAGGAGTTTGAGGTTGCAGTGAGCTATGATGGCACCACTGCACTCCGGCATCAGTGACTGAGCA